CCGGCGGGGTGCGTGGAGCGTGGCCCCGGCTGGGTGCGTGGAGCGTGGCCCCGGCTGGGTGCGTGGAGCGTGCCCTGGTGGAGATGTTTCAGGACCAGCACCATGACCATCTGTTGCCACCTCACAAAGTGCGATGTGGGAATTGCTGTCATGTGTGGCCTCCCTGCCTGTCTCGTGTGCCTAGATCCTCTTATCCAGCCAGAACCTCATTGGCCTGACAGTCTAGGTGTCATGAGTACGATGCAGTGGGGTGGTGAACCTGAGAAATGCGGGGGATGGAAGAGCTACTAGAGCTGGAGAGGAGCACTGAGTGTGCACGTCTGGATGCAATGGGGCTGGCTCTCAGAGTGACAAAACCAAAGCCGTGTGCGGCTGGGTTAGGCCACCCATCACCTCCTGTGAGCGAAAGAGTTTAGGCTTTGTTTGATTGACATGCTTCCCGCCCCACAGACCTGCGGGGTTCTCCTGTCCCCCGAGCCGGCGGAGAATGGCTGCTACCCCTTGGAGAGCCGCATCTTCTGCAAGTCCTGTCACATCAAACAGAAGAATGAATCGTTCTGCTGACGTGGCCAGGCAGGCTTCCTGTGGCTGCAGTGGCATGGCTGGGATGAGCCAAAGCTCTAGACGCCAGCGTGTCGGTGTTCTCCTCTGCATTTATTAACGGCCCACCGGCTGCCCTGACTGAGTCTCTGCTCTGAAGTCCTGCCATGGATGTTTCCTAATCATTGCAACCAGCCCTGAGAGGCGGCAGCAGAATGGTCTTCCTCTTTCCTCCAGACTGGCTCTGCTTTATCTCCCAAGGCTGTGCCAGCCGGCTTCCTCTGCCCTCAAATGGCTCAGTATAGGGCTGAGGAACAACCCCCCAAGCCAGCAGCTGCTGATGGAAACAGTGAGATTGATTAAACTGCCTCTTGAGTGTGTAAAGAACTTGCCTGCTGCTGTAAGTTTTGCTGCCTAGGAGTCTCTCATTGAATATCAGAGGGGCGGGGGAGAGCACGGTGCGGCAGGGGAAGGGGTGCACAGTGTGTGTAGGCCACCCTTCGGTGGAAGGCCAATGCGCCCTCAAAATGGGGCTAAGAGGTGCGGGAGTTTTTGCAAGTCTTCTACCCAGGAACGTTTACCGCACAGCCAGGTCCACGATCTGCTCCCTGCCCCGGGACTAGTGCTGTGAATTCTGACGGCAGTGGGCCAAGGAAGCTTCCGCACCAGAGCACTGTGCAGTCCAGGGGTTAAGTGCTGAGGAAATGACACACGGCGCGGACCCCTCCCCACCCCGCAGGGGGGCCCCTGGCCCACGGGCCCCCGCCTCCTCCTGTGCAGGCAGCAGCTTTTACAGTGGCCGCTGCTGCTGGGAGGGGGCAGGGGAGGGAGTGGCCGGGGCCAGGGGCCGGGGAGCCGCTCCCCGGCCCCCGCCACT